CGTCATCATGAGTCTTTTCCCTGATGGTAGCTGTGGTATCAAGCAGTTCTGGAAAACAGACAAAATATACCAACCTAACCAAAACTACTGAACCTAATTTACAACAATTTAGTCAAGTGTTGGTTGGTTACATTTAAACAGATCTTTTATAGTGCAGAGCTAAGACCCCCAAAGGTATAATATATAATACACACAGCAAAACTACTCCCCATCAAGACCCTCAAGGTATAATATATATCACACGGCAGCACTAGTAATATCAAATTAACCTATCCAGTAAACATGGTTTTGAATGTATCACCTGAATGACTAGTAAGAAAGTTCTACCTCAATTGATGAGGTAACAACTATGAATATAATGTATCATCTCATGATTCATGCTGGCAACAGAACAGTTTCTCATACACACTGAGTTGATGTCTGTCAGTGCAAGCTGTGTTCTCCAATGAGTCTCGGATACTAGTGTTGGTCATGGATTACCGGCAGAAAACACCCACCATTTGACTGCCGTTGATATATTTTCGCTACATTAATATCATGATATTATTCTACCAATGATGGAGCACGGTGATTCACCATAATTACAACAAATGCCAGAAATAGTAACAGGTAACCTCACAGATACTAGGAAGGCAGGCTGACCAACATAATGCAGGAAACACAATTAGTGATCGGAAATATTCGTCCATTGCGACACTGTATAATGACATTGCTGGGGCACGACTAATCCTCGGGTGATTAGCGTCGTGTTGTTCGACTTTTCCGTAATTTATTAGTCTTTTTACTTTTATCCTCTTCGCCACTGATCAGCTCGTTAGCCGTTTGGGCGATCGGTCACGTCTCTGATTAATTTTCCTTTTCATTTATCAACTGTAAATCCCAGAAGGGGGATAGATCACTATCCTCTAACTACCGCCCAATCAGTCTAACATCAATAGTAGGCAAATTACTGGAAGCAATCTTTTCAAACTCTATTCGAAATCACCTGGAGAAGCACCAATTGATCAATGATTCCCAGCATGGCTTCACAAGCGGGCGTTCTTGTCTAACTAATCTATTAACATTCTTTTCATCAGTCTTCGAATCGGTGGACGAGGGGCACAATTATGATGTGGTATATCTCGACTTTAGCAAAGCCTTCGACAGAGTCCCCCACGAAAGACTAATTAGAAAGGTAGAAGCTCATGGCATCAAAGGTAACATCCTTAAATGGATTAGGGCGTGGTTACAGGACAGGAAACAGCGAGTGAGCATTAACGGCACCAAGTCCCATTGGAGCAACGTCACAAGTGGAGTTCCCCAAGGCTCAGTACTTGGACCATTATTATTTATTATATACATAAACGACATAGATATCGGCATAGACAGCAACATAAGTAAATTTGCTGATGACACTAAAATAGGACGTGTTATTAAATCTGAAGAGGACTCCGCAAAACTACAGGAAGATCTAAACAAATTTTTCGAATGGTCTGAAAAATGGCAGATGAAATTCAACGTGGACAAATGTAAAGTACTCAGTATAGGAGATGGAAACAGGGAAACCAGATACCAGATGAACAACGATGCCATAGAGAAATCCAACTGCGAGAGAGATTTAGGAGTAACGATAAGTAGGAACCTTAAGCCAAGTAAACAATGTGTTTTTGCTCGTAACAAGGCTAATAAAGTACTTGGGTTCATACAAAGGAATGTTAGTTACAAGACTAGCGAGGTCATCCTAAAACTGTATCTTGCGCTTGTGAGACCACACCTGGATTACGCAGTTCAGTTCTGGTCACCGTATTACAGAATGGATATAGAATCATTGGAAAGAATTCAGAGGAGAATGACAAGACTAATCCCGGCATTAGGAACCTTGAGTATAGAGACAGGTTAAAGCATCTTAATTTGCACTCCCTCGAGAGACGTAGAGCGAGGGGCGACCTGATAGAGGTGTATAAGTGGAAGTCAGGGCTAAACAAAGGGGACATTACAAAGGTACTCAAACTATCCAACCAGGAGCGAACTCGTAACAATGGTTTTAAATTAGACAAATTTAGATTTAGGCGTGAAATAGGTAAACACTGGTTTGGAAACAGAGTAGTGGATGAATGGAACAAGTTACCAAATATCATCATTAACTCGAATACGCTGAATAGCTTCAAACATAGGTTGGATGCTTATATGAGCAATAGGGGTTGGGTGTAAACGGGACTGCCCAGTATGGCCCAATATGCCCGCTGCAGTTTCCTCCATTCTTATGTTCTTATGTCTGGATTACTGAATACATGCACGTCATTTGCGAAGGAAACGTCATTGAAGAAAAGTGTCTTAAAATTATCTAAACTATTGTTTGCAATGACAAAATTCCCTTGATTCAGTTGGTGGCAACAAATGCATTATTATAACAGCCTTTATATTAGTTTATGATTTTCAAGTCACGATAAAATGCATCAGGAATGTCGTAGAACATCATCGTCTAACTTTTGTCCGAAATTATCATTAGACACCCAAAACACCCCTATGTTTAATTATGTCCTCTACTATAAACTGACCAAACATGAACTGTACCTCAATCACCAACCTGCCGGTGCAGGTCATGGCCACCCTAGATGGTGTTGATCTGTAGCTCACTGCCCCACCTGCGTGTAGTAATATACTCTATAACAACAGACATTTTCCCTACCTCCAAATTACTCCATTTATTTCCGTCTTATATGGTTTCTTCCTCTTGATCATCGTTGTTTTCTTTTTAACTTGCCCTTAGTGGTGGCCGACACCCTCACCAGGCTCGACCGTCGAGTTAATCACAATAATAAATGCCAAGATGTGTAGTTAGAAGAGGTTAGAATGTATTTAAGTATAGTAAACCTTCCAGAACCCAATATTAAGGAAAATACTGTTTTAACCCGATGCTTTTTTGTTTATTATTTATAAATGACACAAAGCTAGCTGCCTATCTCACAGAAAATGGGAAGCAGGTCTTAAGAGTCTGTAACGGGGGTCTTTAACACTGGAAAGTACTTTTTAGATTTGATGAGTAATATACATGCACGTGCATTTTATTTATTTTAACTATGACAATTATTAAAAAGAAATAATATATCCGCTGTCGCCTTCTTCCTTAAACATGGCCCGTGAGCAATGTTCTGAAAATTGCGATTGTAATTTCAATATAGTAAAATTTTTACACTGAATGGCGTCTTAATTTATTTGTTTATCTCTTAATTTGATTTATAATTTCACCACTTATGAGCTTACTAGCCGATTGGTCTGTTCTTTGTTATTTGTTATTTTGTTATAACCTTTATTGTCCAGTGTTAGTAGAGGTCATATTTGGTAGGGTCGTACTGGCTAATGCTCTTCTCACATGTGTCCCGGGCCAGGACTCGAACTCAGGGAATTGTTTGTTGAATTAAGGATCCATTTAATTTTTTACTTAACATCTTTATTCAGCTGGGAATGGAGTTACCCCAGGAGCAGCTGACTAGATAGGGGTGAGACAGAATTAATACTTTACACTTTTTTTACTTTTTACTTTTATCCTCTTAGCTACTGGTCGGCTCGTTAGCCGCTTGGGTGGTCGGTCACGTCTCTGTTACACACTGTTGGCAAGTACTGGGCATGAACTGGCTCCTGAATGTATCTGAATCTGCTCCAGTGTTGGTCAAGTCTGGTCTTGAAAGAGCTCACACTTCGTGCCGTCACAACACTCTCTGGCAGATTGTTCCAAGAGTTGACAACTCTCACTCCGAAAAAGCTACCCCTCACAGTTTTCTGGACTTGTAGCTTCTTCGACCTTGAACTGTGACCCCTTGTGGAGCGAGTGTCCGCCAGCTCCAGGTAAGGACACTCGACTGAGATGTTTATACTCGTACACCTCAATCAGGTCGCCTCTCGCCCGTCTGTGGTATAAGCTAGGTAGTTGCGGGCTCTCTAATCCCTCAGGGTAGCTGAGGAGCCGACGTGCAGGCACCAGTCTGGTGGCCCTCCTTTGGCCATTTTCAATCAATTGACAGTCACTAGCATATCTCGGGGACCAGACGGGGTGACAGTACGGATTGAATGTTTTATTTTATTTGGAATACATCACATCATATGTACAATGAAGGATGAACAGCACTTACAAGTAAACATATATCATATAGAGCATATAATATGACTCCACGTCACAGGAAAAGGTAGGCAGGCAGACTATCTGGTTGGTGTGAGGAAGGGGTGAATTAAACCTAAACACGTACTTAAAATTTAAACCTGTACTTTATATCTACACCTGTACATCAAACCTAAACCTGTACTTTATACTTGTATCTGTACTTACATAAACTAGCTGTGTGTATTATTCTTAATCAGGTTAATAAATAGTAGACTAAGTATATATATTTGATGGTAAGATGGGTGAGGGAGTCGTCATCCATCTCCTGCTGGTGTAGGCCGGGTCATCCACACCATAATGTGAGTGAGGGAACCGTCATCCAACTATCTCTTGTGTTCCTCTGCCTTATTTTCTGCTCCTCCTCTTGCGCTCCTCCTCCTCTTCTTGTGCTCCTCCTCCTCTTGTGCTCCTCCTCCTCCTCTTGTGCTCCTCCTCCTCTTCTTGTGCTCCTCCTCCTCCTCTTGCCCTCCTCATCCTCCTCATTCCGTAGATCACATTTCAACCAACTGTCTCACTGGTGCAACAACCTCACCAAGTAACTGTTAAATATTCATATCTACACGATGTCATCTTTTCCTGGATTTTGTTTTTACTTCATTCTGATTTATAAAGAGATCCCAACATATAAATAAAATAAGGAAAACGTATTATTAGCTTATGCTTTCCTTAACACACACATTGGGACCACATAGGGGGGGTTATTAAATGATAGTTTCTTTAATATAACTTTAATAACAATAGAGAAACTTATGCAGATCTCAATTGACTCACAAAGGTTCAATTTAATTCTGTTTCATATACGTCATCTAATTTCTCTTAACAATTGCAATGTGAGGTTTAAGGATTAATTAAAAGATTTATATACGATTCTATAATCTCTTTATTAATAACCAGTTACCTTCCTGATCCAATCTCGGAAGTGAGCGACGGATACATGGCCGTCGGGATAGTTGCCCTTACAGTTAAGTGACGCCACGAAACTGATAACCCCAACCAGCACGAACCTCTGCCCCTTCAGCATCATGACTGGTCCTCCTGAGTCCCCCTGCAGGAGAGAGAGAGGAGGTGTTGGGTTATTGTCTGCTGTAGTATGGCCCCCTCCACCTACCACATGATCCCTCCACCTACCACATGATCCCTCCACCTACCACATGATCTCCCCACCTACCACATGATCCCTCCACCTACCACATGATCCCTCCACCTACCTACCACATGATCCCTCCACCCCTCCACCTACCACATGATCCCTCCACCTACCACATGATCTCCACCTACCACATGATCTCCTTCCACCTACCACATGATCCCTCCACCTACCACATGATCCCTCCACCTACCACATGATCCCTCCACCTACCACATGATCTCCCTCCACCTACCACATGATCCCTCCACCTACCACATGATCTCCCTCCACCTACCACATGATCTCCCTCCACCTACCACATGATCCCTCCACCTACCACATGACCTCTCCACCTACCACACAACTCCTCTACGTACCAGACAGATGTGTTTGACGCCCGGGCCGGTGGTACAGAAGTGGTGTTCAGTAATATAACTTCCAAAAACAAGCTTGCACTTGGCGGCGTCCATGCCATCTCTCTCCAACTTACGAAGACTATCACTGAGTTTACCTGTGTGGAGGAGTGACGTTGTTAGCCCATAAAGTAGTTCTTGGAGTGAGGAGTTAACTGAGTTCTTAGGGGGAATATAATCAATCAATTCTTGGAGGGAATATTTCATGTCAACACAGTCTTGAGAGAGAGAGAGAGAGAGAGAGAGAGAGAGAGAGAGAGAGAGAGAGAGTCACCATTTTCAGTCTTGCCCCAACCAGCGACCTTCAACGTCTTCCCCTGGAAACTCTCAGACTTGAAGGTGATGTCAGGGATGCAGATCGGACGCACCGTGTTCGTGATGGAAATGGCATCACTCAACCTGGAGAAGACCACACATAGTATTTACACATGTCTCTTTATTTGCCAATACATAAAAATACCTACAGTTTCAGGTATAAGGAACACCTACTGTACATCCATCCTTCCCTCTCTCTTCCACAGTTTGTCATTATAAAGATAAAAAGTGAAGTACAGGTAGAGTGTCATAACCATGGTAAAAGTACACATTAAAATATAGTTAAATATCGAGGAGTAATCCCCGTGTGGTGATTGCATTATATAGGTATTGCCTTAACTTATGTAATCAGAAAGTTATTTAAAATGATCTTGAAAATTGTATAAGCACAATGACTTACTTTAGACACGAAAAGAAAAAGCCGACAAGTACGTAAGTCAATCATACACACAGAGTCACACAGAACAGTGGAATCAGTCTACCTCAGCATCGTTTACAAGTCTAGATCACTCACGGGGATAACATAAGCCACCTCACTACCCCTGCCTCCAGCTGCTACTCAGTCACCCCCCTCTTCTGGTTTGACACAACCTGGTAGCCCCCCTGTGTGCCTCTCATGATCACGGCCTACTCCACCCCCGCCTGGCACCACTGCCGGCGTCCACACCGAGCCTGCCCCGTGCCCGGCTGCCCCCGTCCACCCACCGCGCGCTCATGGCCATGAACAGCCTACCAGGAGGCCACGCCTCTCATACGCAACAGAACTCTCCCACACCCACAACAGACTCCAGAACTCATAGCCCTCACAAACCAGTTCCAACTGCTACAACAGAGAGCCGAGACACATGGCTGGGACATCGTAAGCTATAATACATACAGAAGAATACGGGAAGAAATAAAAACAAGATCTCTGGAACAAAGCAACCTTAAATGGACCGAAATAGTTGAACAACTCTCACATACATACAACGATCCAGGAGAGTTCTGGCGTCGAGTTAAGAGACTGAACGGTTGCAGCCATAACGAGTCATCATATATAACTGACCACGCAGGAAGTAAAATATATGACGACCAAGACAAAGAACCCATATTGAGGGACATATGGAGGAACATCTTCCGAATCACAAATGAAGAGAATAGGGGATTTGATGGTACCCACGAGGAGCTCGTCCTTGATGAACTCCGGGGCCAGACACACCGCACTCAGCCTTCCCTGAAATCATATGGGAGGATCTGAGAGCGGACAGCCCATTGTCCAAACCAATCACCTCGGAAGAACTCAACAGAGCCATCTCCAATACCAAAAATAAAGCCCCTGGTTATTCAGGCATCACCAAGGAGATCCTCAGCCACATAAACAACCCGGCCATGAAGAGACTGAGAACCACAATGAACGCTTGCCTGGCCTCGGGCTACTTCCCAACTAAATTCAAAGAGGCCATTATTACCCTAACACCAAAACAAGGAAAGAACCCCGCCATCCCACTAAACTACAGACCGATCTCCCTCCTCGAAGTACCTGAAAAATCCTTGAAAAAATCATCATTAACCGTCTGAGAAATCACCTGGAAACAACAAACAGAGTCAACTGTAGACAATTCGGGTTCAGGAAAGGGAAGTCCACCACAACAGCGATAGCCCTGGCATGTGAAAACATAGCCAGAGCCGCGGCGAGTGGTAGACAATGTAATCTAACTCTCCGGGATGTAGCGACGGCATTTGACAAAGTCTGGCACGACGGTCTAAAATATAAGATCCTCCAACTCGACTTCCCACCAACATTGAAAAGTTGCTTGCAACTTTCTTGACAGCAGAAATGCCAAACTGAGGGTAGGACAACACACAGGAGAGACCTTCTCACTCATGAGTGGAGTCCCTCAGGGCAGCGTCCTCTCCCCCACCCTATATATTATCTACACAAGTGACACTCCGCCTCCCACTAGAATTGGGAACGAAGATATTATGTATGCAGACGACATCACTCAAATAACAACACATCAAGGAAAATCGCGAGCGTTACAGGATGACAACACCAGGCGGGAATTAGAGAGGGTAAATAATTACGAAAAAGAATGGAAAATCCAAACCAGTCTCCCGGAATTCACAGTGATACCCTTATGCAGAAGGAAAACCCATCCATTAGTAACCAATAATGCCCAGATAGAATACAAAAGCAGAGGCACCCTCCTGGGCCTGCATATATCCACGACAGGTTACTCCCATCAGGTCCACAGCAGGAAGGAAAATGCAAGAAGAGAGCTGAGAAAACTATACCGCTTTAAAGCGCTTCCTGAGAAAATAAAACTCCGCCTGGTGACATCATTTATCACACCGATATTAACTTACCCAGCAGTACCTCTTCATACTATGAGCACCACTCAAAAATTAAAATTACAGGTGGTCCAAAATGAAGCTCTAAGATTCGTCACAGGTGAAAGATACCCCTTCACCAGAACCACAGCCGAGATACATAGAGACCTGAGAATAAAACCAACCAACCAGCAGCTGCACACCCTGGCCAGCAGAATCTGGCAAAAGAAAGAACGATCAGAGCAAGAACTCCTTCAAAGACTCCCACCAGATAACGACAACAACCATACATGGTTCCCAAAAAGCTACCAAATCTTAAAAGGTCCATTACCACCCCCGATCTACACGGCCAGGCAATAGACAACCTCCCTAGACCAGCATCCGCCAGTAGGGTCGGCGGAATATAAAATAAGGCCCTTAAAACACCCATATATGGGACAGGGTAGGATGTCTAGTGCCTGTACCGACAGACAATAACTAACCCATGACACAACCCTAACACACTATTAGCTTAGCTAGGCGGTCAGCCCGCCCTCTCTTACCTCCTCCTAAATTTCTTCAATTTCCGAACTATAACTTCCTTCCCCCACCTCTAATCTTCTTTCACCCCTTCTTTCCCTACAAAAAAAAAAAAATAACTAAAAAATAAAAATGGACCCGGGGATACCACCCCCTGCTCCCCGTCCCCCACCGGCACCTGGGGCCCATCCACTCCAGTTCTTCACATCAATTGACCACCATGCGGACATGCCAGTGGTCTACGTATCTACGCCAAGAAGGACGCCTCCTACCAACCTCTCGACATCCCCCTTGAAGCCGACACTACCGACGTACACGCCATCACAATCACACTAAAAGGTATGTCCCTCAATACTGTCAATGCCTAGGGCCTGGCACTTGACATTATTAGGGACCTGCCACACTTTGCCATAAACAGATAAATTGTACCGGGAAATTTTCCTCCCACACACTCATCATTCTGTCACTTTATATAACTTGCTGACAAAACCCATGACCATTCAGGATTTTACGCCCTTAATTCATGAGTCATAACGGCAAGCATGAACTCCGCATGCTTCCCAGATGGGCGCTGTAAACGTTTCTGCACTTCACCTTGCACAGGATGTAAGGAGGTGCCCAATAAACCAGCCCCCAACGGGGCAATCTAAAAAAAAAAAAAACTCACTCAATTGTCGATGTTGTAACAGGAGTACTCCCATAAGTCTAACATTTATACAACACACAAAACTTTCATTTCATTTCATTGTAAAGTAATCGGTTTATATACAAAAAAAAGGTAATTGGATATAATCAGTTAAATTAGCACCAATACATTAATTAGGGTCACAGAAAAAGAGCTAGTTACTTATAATGTGTATGGTGGAAATGCATTAATTTACTACGGTACTAAAGGGATCACAAATGGACTGGTAGAAGATGTGAATATCCTAGACTAAGAAAAACATGCTAACGGTTATAATATAAGTGTATTAGAGTAGAGAAACCCTTAAGACTGTTGATTTATGTTTCAGGAAGTACAAACACGCACACAGAAGCACATACAGACAGACAAAGAGAGAGAGATTTACTCACTTGATCAAGGCGAGGTCGTCAGCGAAGGTGTATGTCGGGTAGAGCACTATGTCTACTGCTGTCATTGTCACCTCAGGATTTTTGGTGGTACGCTTCAGCATACCGAGTCTGGCTCTCACTGTCGGCAGAACCACCGTCCCATTCACCTTCCTGGAGGTAGAATCAAGAAGACTATTCCACATATATCCCAGAAACACCGCATTATCACTGTCCCATCACTGTTTACATTGAAGATCACTGCCCCCTCACTACATTAAAGATCACTGCCCCATCACTACATTAAAGATCACTGCCCCCTCACTACATTAAAGATCACTGCCCCATCACTACATTAAAGATCACTGCCCCATCACTACATTAAAGATCACTGCTCCCTCACTACATTAAAGATCACTGCCCCATCACTACATTAAAGATCACTGTCCCCCTCACTACATTAAAGATCACTGCCCCCTCACTACATTAAAGATCACTGCCCCATCACTATATTAACGATCACTGCCCCATCACTACATTAAAGATCACTGTCCCCTCACTACATTAAAGATCACTGCCCCATCACTACATTAAAGATCACTGCCCCCTCACTATATTAAAGATCACTGCCCCATCACTATATTAACGATCACTGCCCCATCACTACATTAAAGATCACTGCCCCCTCACTATATTAAAGATCACTGCCCCATCACTACATTAAAGATCACTGTCCATCTCTTCTCACCATTGGACACAGTGGCCAGCGGTCAGAACCCACTGAGGAGTGATGAGACTGCCACCACAAGTACGTTGGGTTCCGTCTGCTAACTTAATATCCAACAGAGTCTGCAATAAGTAGAAACACAAGATGGAAATATATACAATTTTAACAAGAAAGTCTACCTGTGTTACAAACTTAGTTATGAAAAAATGTATGTGTGTGTTTCTGGTCGTTAGTGGTGCAAGGGAGTGTTTTTTGACCTTCATAATGGCGGTCATGGTGCAAATCTCTGTTATTCAGTGTGACCTTATCTTTCTATCTCTCTATCTTACCTGCCATGGAAATTCACCCATCACGACGTACTCTCCATTGACGATTCTGTTACTCTGGTCCTGAGCAAGTCCACAAGATGGGTGTGACACGTAGGGTGGTTGGCTGGTAGTGGTGGTTGATGTTGTTGTAGGCGTAGTTGTGGTAGTGGTTGCTGTTGTTGTAGGCGTAGTTGTGGTAGTGGTTGCTGTTGTTGTAGGCGTAGTTGTGGTACTGGTTGCTGTTTTTGTAGGCGTAGATGGGGTGGTGGTTGTTTTAGGCATGGTAGTGGTTGTTGTAGGCATAGTTGTGGTAGTGGTTGTTGTAGGCATGGTTGTGGTAGTGGTTGTGGTAGGCATAGTTGTGGTAGTGGTTGTGGTAGGCATAGTTGTGGTTGTATCATAGGGACCTGTTAAAGGGAGGAAAGAAAGAAATGGAACACAATAGTGGATATTTCTTGATTGCTTCTCTTCTTTCATACATTTCTATCATATTTCTTTCTTTCTTGATAATATTGAACTCGCGTTATCAAAGACATATGCAATGAGTAGAGAGAGAGAGAGAGAGAGAGAGAGAGAGAGAGAGAGAGAGAGAGAGAGAGAGAGAGAGTCTTCGTTCATTAGATAGCATTACTGAACCCCTGAACCCACTATTGAACCCCTGAACCCACTACTGAACCCCCGAACCCACTATTGAACCCCTGAACCCACTATCTCCTCACCCATTAATGAACCTGTCCATGACTTACAAAGATCCACCAGGAGACACAGGAACCCCAATGAGCTCTTCTTGTAGTTGGACTTAAAGAACAGTTTTACAGAGGTGTCCCGAAAGATATCGTTCGTTGGCCCATTCCTTCCATAATACCTGAGGAAAAAGAATATTTGTTCGTTAACCGTGTTCTTGAAAAAGTTTGTTTACATTGAATTGAATGATTAACAACGTTTGAAAACGCACTTTTTTTTTATTTTTCTTGTAATGACGAGTTACCTGAGTTTTTAATTATGAAATTACATTCGTTTTTCTTCACTTATTTACAATAAAAACTTAACTTAGAAACCTTTGAGAATCCACATTTGTATCTTGGCTTAAGTAATACAGTTAAGCTGTTTATCCACATCTTCAGTTATGAGGAAAAAGTTAGCTTGTGAAACTTTGAAAATTCAGGACCCTTACCCCACTTTTGTTCCTTGTGAGGTTGTGACGGTGAGGCTGTCGCCATAGCCAAGGGAAAACATCGGACAAGTTACCAGTATCCCTGCCGTACAGGTAGTCTATGCCAAGAAACAATGCAACACGTTAGGATCCAAAAACATATGACTTTAGCAGATGTAAAACGTGTCGTGTACAAGCAATACAGGTGTGTGTGTGTGTGTACAATAATTGGTCACCATAACCATACATAAACGCACCATAGCTACACCATGAGAGCAACACCATAAACGAGGACCCTGTTACCTGAGAATATTACTCACTCACCTGTAGCTTCCAGGTGCACCGATTATTGTGAGGATATGGACGGGGGAACCTGGGCGTCTGGATGGAAAGTGGATTTCTGGGTGAGAGGGTGTAGAAGCCACACTTCACTGGGAGAGCTATGGGGGTAGAGGTGGCCATTAGAGGTGTTATGGAGGTGTTAAGGGTGTTATGGAGGTGTTATGGGTGTTATGGAGGTGTTAAGGGTGTTATGGGGGTGTTAAGGAGGTGTCACAGGTGCCATTAAGGATATACCAGGGGTGTCAAGGGGTGTCAAGTAGGGTGTCATGGGGGTGTCACGAAGAAAGTGTAAACGGTAAATATTAAGACAAAAATAACATGAAAAAGACGTAAAACAAATTAAACAGTTTCTTCAACAGCTAAACTTCCTGGAGGACTCACAGCGGCTGGCCACATGACGAAGGATATCCGAGACGCCACTCCCAACAGACCCTACTTGTAAAGGAGGCACGACGTCGTCTAAATAACCCGGTCCTATGATGTCCCATGAAGTCGACATAGTCTGCGTGTACTCATCAATTTCTTCGGTCACGACTGAGGAATTCAGCGAGTCCCTCAGTTGGCTAAGATGTACTTCTGGGATGCTGACGTTAAAATCATGAGCAGGACCAACGGGACGGATAACAAGGATAACGAATCCATCAAGTTGAGCCACTTCCACCGAGTCCCAAATTGATGATTCGTTCTCGTGAATCCCGAGCTGCTCAGCCGAGTCGCGGAGGAGGGGAATTCTGATGATGAAACGGGAGGAAATAATATACCATTTGCAAATTCGAAAAAAATATTGTCCAATCTGCCACACACGCATACATACATACTTACGTATATACATACAGACATACATACATACATATACACACCTGTCGTTTGGAGGGGGGATGTGCGCTTGGTTGTCAGGAAGCGGTGAATGATCAACACCTGGAATAGAAAGAATTAGTGGGAATTATTCAGGGGCTGAGAGGCGTGTGGGTGGGTGTGGGGGTGTGTGGGGGGGATATATGACCTTCTTACCCACTGATTTACCTAACACTTCATCTTACCGGCCCCAGCACAGAGCACCAGTGACGTCACCACGATGAAGGAACACAGTGACGTCATTCTCCACAGTGACGCCATTCTTAGGTAAACAATGAGACCTCGTCAACACGTTCACCACCACCACCTGAAATAAAATGTTCATAAATTATCTCATAATGTTTATTATACTATTTAAATACATGTAAACATTATATATATATATATATATATATATATATATATATATATATATATATATATATATATATATATATATATATATATATATATATATATATATATATATATATATATATATATATATATATTATATATATATATATATATATATATATATATATATATATATATATATATATATATATAAACTTGAGATAATTGAGTTTTGTGTTTTATCATTGTAGGATAAGACCAGGGTTAGGGGTTATATAATGATCCGATAATGAATGTACAAGAAGGTATCCAGGGGGCGTACACTCGCTCCAATAATTATGACACAACGGACGAAGGATTTTGACAACCATACCGAAATAACAGGAATCGCAGTGTTCATTCTGGAATTCATCGATCACCACCATAAAGATACTTTCGGGGGAGAGTGTACGTGTACGTACCTTAGCTTATCTCAAAATATATTTAATGGAGAAGTGAGGTGTTGTTGGTGTGGCAGCCAGAAGCAGAGTGAAGATATGTGGGTATAATTACAGCTTATATAGGCTATGAGAACTTCCGTGTTGGCACAGAAGTTGACGTCACATCTCGTTGGTCACAAGATCAATCGCCAAATCATAATTATTCTGTTTATTATTGAGTTGATTATTTTAATTGCTTACGGTAATCAATAGGTCATTACCCTACCAAATACCATACTGATAATAAGCATCTAATCCCTATGTTGGTTATCACTGGTCGAATGGAATTACTGTTTCTGCACATACAACGAAACTACGGCCAGCCATCCACCAGCACAGCGGTACAGAGGCCTTCAACCTTTACCACAGCCACTTGATAATGTCTAGGGAGGTCAGTGGCCATCAGTAGCTCAGGGAAGCATCACATGACTCTATAAACACCTGCTTAATTACCTGGGTTTACGTGGCTCATTAATAATTACTATTCATCCTCTGGTAAATTGATACCAATCATCCCAGAAGCGACTTTTGTATACATGTATTTCTCCTACACAAGACGATAACACCATCTGAAGTAAAACAATATCAATTAAACTGACTTATACAACCACACAACAAGGGCAATAATACTGTATTAACTTCATCTTTTAAGACAAAGTGTAAATAGAGACGTAATGCCAGGGAATTCAGACCAGAATTAGTCATCATTTAATTACTAATAACCGGTCGTCAGTATATAAGCGTCATTATGACTAAACACCCAGAGTTAATGTGACCCCACTACCTGACCCCACGACCGCGCCTTTCGCCCAAGAACATAACAATATAAGAATGGAGAAAACTGCAGCGCGTCTATTGGCCCATACTGGACAGTCCCGTTTACACCCAACCCCTATCGCTCATATATCCATCCAACCTACCGTATGTTTGAAGCTATCCAGCGTATTCGAGTTAATGGTGATGTTTGGTAACTTGTTCCACTCATCCACTACTCTATTTCCAAACCGATGTTTACCTATCTCGCGCCTAAATCAAAATTTGTCAAATTTAAAACCATTGTTTCGAGTTCGCTCCTGGTTGGATACTTTGAGTACCGTTGTTATATCACCTTTGTTTAGCCCTGACTTCCATTAATACACCTCTATCATATCGCCTCTCACTCTACGTCTCTCGAGGGAGTGCAAATGAAGATGCTTTAATCTGTCTCTGTACTTAAGGTTCCTAATGCCCAGGATTAGTCTTGTCAGTCTCCTCTGAATGCTTTCTAAGGATTCTATATCCATTCTGTAGTACGGTGACCAGAACTGAACCACGTAATCCAAGAGCAAGATATAGTTTTTGCGTGACCTCTCTAGTCTTGTAACTAACACTCCGTTGTATGAACCCAAGTACTTTATTAGCCTTGTTTCGAGCAAATACACATTGTTTACTTGGTTTAAGATTCCTACTTATCATTACTCCTAAATCTTTCTCACAATACATCTGATATCTGATTTTTTTGTTTACATCTCATAGTCAAAGTACTTTACATATGTAAACATTAAACTTCAACTGCCATTTCTCAGACCATGCTAAACATTTGTTTAGATCTTCCTGTAGTTTTGTCGAGTCCCTATCAGATTTAATTACAAGCCCTATGTTAGTGTCGTCAGCAAATTTACTTATGTTGCTGCCTACGCCCATATCTACGTCGTTTATGTATTTAATAAATAGTAATGGTCCAAGTACTGAGCCTTGGGGTACTACACTAGTGACGATACCCCAATCGGATTCAGTTCCGTTAATGCTTACTCTATGTTTCCTGTTCTGTAACCACGCCCTAATCCATTATAGAATATCTCCTCCAACACCATGAGCCTCCACTTTTCGTATTAGTCTTTCGTGGGGGACTCTGTCGAAGGCTTTGCGAAAGTCGAGATATATCACATCATAATCGTGCTCGTCGTCCACTGATTCGAAAACAGCTGAAAAGAATGTTAATGGATTTGTCAGACATGAACGCCCACTTGTGAAGCCATGTTGGGAATCATTGATCAACTTGTGCTTCTCCAGGTGATTTTGAATAGAGTTTGAAATTATTGCTTCCAGAATTTGCCTACAATTGATGTTAAACTGATTGAACGGTAGTTAGAGGACAGTGATCTATCCCCCTTCTTGAAAATCGGTATCACATTCGCTATCCTCCAGGATTCTGGTACTACACCTGTTTTTAATGACATGTTAAACAAATTTGCTAAGGACATACTAAGCTCTTCCTTACATTCCTTTATTACTCTGGCAAAAATCTCACCAGTACCTGGTGACTTATTAGGCTTTAGCTTGTCTCTTTGTTTATTAACATCGTTACTAGTCACTACTTATATAAAATGGTTACGTTAAAGATGCATTGTCTAGTTTGTTATGAAGACGATGTATAAACTCTGACACACTAGGCTTGGTATACTGTCATCAGGAACCAGTCTATTCATTATTGGATGAAGACCTACCCATAACACCGAGACAGTGCCCTCGTGCCCACTAATTGCCCCACCATACCATAACCCATCACAATTATTTATATGTTATTCATGTCTCAAGATTACATACCTAGGTGCCCTACCCTCGACGATACAGGTAGGGTGTACATACATACTGAGTGGAGGGGTAAGTGGTGGGGGTGAGCTGGGTGGAGGAGTCGCTACATTTGACTTAATCTGGACCAGGAAGTTGACTTTAACGCGGAAATGCATCTGCCTGTGTGGTTCTCTGGCCTCAACTCTGAAGTGTTAAGCTGTGGGGTGGGTGAGGTGGGGTGTGGTAGGGCGGGGTGGGTGAGGGTGGGTGGGTGAGGGGTGTGGTACGTTGGGTACGTTGGGTGGGTGGTGGGGTGTGGTAGGTACGTTGGTGGGTGAGGTGGGGTGTGGTAGGTACGTTGGGGTGAGGTGAGGTACGTTGGTGGGTGAGGTGGGTGGAGGGCGTTGGTGGGTGAGGTGGGGTGTGGTGGTACGTTGGGTGGGTGAGGTGGGGTGTGGTAGGTACGTTGGGTGGGTGAGGTGGGGGTGGTAGGTACGTTGGGTGGGGTGGGTGTGGTAGGTGGGGTGGGTGACGGTGGGTGGGGGGTGTGGTAGGTACGTTGGGTGGGTGAGGGTGGGGTGTGGTAGGTACGTTGGGTGGGTGGGGGGTGGGGGTACGTTGGTGTGGGTGAGGTGGGGTGTGGTAGGTACGTTGGGTGGGTGAGGTGGGGTGTGGGTACGTTGGGTGGGTGAGGTGGGGTGTGGTAGGTACGTTGGGTGGGTGGTAGGGTGGGGTGTTGGTAGGGTGGTAGGCGTTGGGTGGGTGAGGTGGGGTGTGGTAGGTACGTTGGGTGGGTGGTGGGGTGTGGTAGGTACGTTGGGTGGGTGAGGTGGGGTGGTAGGTGGGGTACGTTGAGGGTGGGTGTGGTAGGGTGTTGGGTGAGGTACGTTGGGTGGGTGGGGGGTGTAGGTGGTAGGTGTTGGGTGGGTGAGGTGGGGTGTGGTCCTTTTACTAACACATAAAATGACAAAACTAATTAACTAACTTGTTTATCAACTCTAGCATCATGTAAGGCTTTAAAATGGACATAAAACTCCTAGTAATCATCATTGAGTACTCTAACACTAGCACACTGGCACTGAACTGTCTCTTATAAAAGTTCACGCATTACTGTGGCTATGGGCAGCAGTCACGGCAGCAGTGCCAGGACTTAGGCCTACGGGTGCCAATGCTTACAAATTACAATGTCTTTATTCTGGTTCCACACATATATATATTTTTTAGATATTGTGACTTCATGCCTGATAAATTCCTTCACGTCTTATTACCTTGAAACGGATAAATAACGGTTTCGGCCGCCGAGTGTGAACTCTTTCAAGACCAGACCTGGCCAACACTGGTGCAGGTTCAGATACATTCAGGAGCCGGTGCATGCCCAGTACTTGCCAACAGTGTGTAACAGAGACGTGACCGACCTCCAAAGTGGCTAACAAACCGATCAGTGGCAAAGAGGCTAGAAGTAAAGTAAAGTAAAAGTAATATAGACAAAGACCTTGGCTTGGTATATCTCAATTCGCTTTACACACCGTTTATGGGTTATCCTCATCACTTCACATACACTTACTATTCTAAGCTACGCCTCAGCTCAAGCTGTTGAATCTAGAACAGCCCTGGGCTACAAAATAGCCTATATCCCTCTACTCTAGTTAGGCGGTTATTAGGTAAATAAGGTGACGTGAGTCTGCTAATTCCTGTAGTTAACCTTAAAATAGTCGTTTTCTTAAATATTACATTAAAAAAAACGGATAAAATTTAGCATTAACTCTTCAAAATAATAGGATTAGAATTTACTGAACAGCATTATAGTGGGAATATTTTATTTTATGAATATTGAAAATTGGTACAATTTACAGTATATTATTCTGTATTTATGAATGAATGACGCCAAGCCTTAGTAATGCTGTAAATTCCGACATAAAAGCTTCCAAAAAATTTTCATTTTTAGTAGGTAACCGAAACCTATTTATCTATTAATGCAAATGACGATGATAATGTACGATCTAAAATAACCTTAATCAAACCTAACTCAATCTAACTTAAGATAATATAATCTAAACTAACCTAACACACCCCAGTTAGCATTAGGGTGGTTAATCTTCAGGTCAAATAAACTGGGGATAAACTACGACTCTCATTACACATACTGTACTTTATGCCTGGCTCAGCATTCTCTCTATTCTCAGGTGTCCCTAAATTATAAACGAAAGAAAACAAGTAAACTAAAAAGAAAAGACTAAGACAATTACCAAAGTTACAACACTAATTCACAACAATACAACTAAGACAATGAAATATAACTTTTAACTCGTTTAACATACTGGACGTAAGCTCTCTCCTACCATCAATTCGTCATTCACTCACTATCAGTTAGTCTTGGGCTGAGAGAGAGAGAGAGAGAGAGAGTTGTAAGACCGATGGAAGAGGCAACTTAGTCCTCCCCCTCCCTGACACTACTTTTTTGAGGGCTAGGAACCGTATACACTGACA